GATGTAGGTAAACACAAGAAAGAGCAGTGATGTAGGTAAACACAAGAAAGAGCAGTGATGTAGGTAAACACAAGAAAGAGCAGTGATGTAGGTAAACACAAGAGCAGTGATGTAGGTAAACACAAGAAAGAGCAGTGATGTAGGTAAACACAAGAAAGAGCAGTGATGTAGGTAAACACAAGAAAGAGCAGTGATGTAGGTAAACACAAGAGCAGTGATGTAGGTAAACACAAGAAAGAGCAGTGATGTAGGTAAACACAAGAAAGAGCAGTGATGTAGGTAAACACAAGAGCAGTGATGTAGGTAAACACAAGAAAAAGCAGTGATGTAGGTAAACACAAGAAAAAGCAGTGATGTAGGTAAACACAAGAAAGAGCAGTGATGTAGGTAAACACAAGAAAGAGCAGTGATGTAGGTAAACTCAAGAAAGAGCAGTGATGTAGGTAAACACAAGAATCTCTAAAGTGGCTAAACCGATGTTAATGTGTTTAACAGCAGTTACACTGCATTGTGTTTAACAGCAGTTACACTGCATTGTGTTTAACAGCAGACTGACTGTATGACGCTTTGTTTAACAGCACATAGACTGCAAGTTGAGGTGTTTACAGCAGACAGATTGCCAGAATATGTATTGCACAGGAGAGAGATTGCAAAATGATGACTTTAACGGCAGATAGACCGCAAGCTGATGTGCAACAGCAGACAAACAACAAAAATACATTAGGGTAGACTCTGAGGCTACATTGGCTAACATAGATGGATGGCAAGGTGGAGGGAGGATTCCATGAGGAACTTGAGCAAACTAATTTTCTTGGATAAACTTAGGATATTTATATTTTTTTGTTTATTCGCCGGTACATGCCCCGGTCTTTCATGAGGGTGACCCGGTACTTGGTCCCTGTTTAGGGAGTATCTGAGACCTAAGTCTCCAGGGAGGAGGTACATGTACCTATCTTTGGACAACTGTCCAGGCCTAGCCACAGTCCACCCCAGGGGTGTAGGAGACTTCTGTTGAAGATTAGAGACAATGCGTTTATAGGTCGAAAAATAATATACTACAATAAAATAGAGTAACATAGTCGTCTTGCAAACCATAGGTTGGCAGTGACGGGTGACACTAGGTCAGCAGTGACGGGTGACACTAGGTCAGCAGTGACGGGTGACACTAGGTCAGCAGTGACGGGTGACACTAGGTCAGCAGTGTGGGAGGGACACTAGGCAGCAGTGACGGGTGACATTTAGGTCAGCAGTGAGGGTGACACTAGGCATGCAGTGACGAGGTGACACTAGGTCAGCAGTGACGGGGACCTAGGTCAGCAGTGACGGACTAGGTCAGCTGAGGGTGACACTAGGTCAGCAGTGACGGGACACTAGGTCAGCAGTGAGGGTGAGCACTAGGTCAGCAGTGAGGGGTGACACTAGTCGGTGCGGGTGACACTGCAGCAGTGAGGGGTGACACTAGGTCAGCAGTGAGGGGTGACACTAGGTCAGCAGTGAGGGGTGACACTAGGTCAGCAGTGAGGGGTGACACTAGGTCAGCAGTGACGGGTGACACTAGGTCAGCAGTGAGGGTGACACTAGGTCAGCAGTGACGGGTGACACTAGGTCAGCAGTGAGGGTGACACTAGGTGCAGTAGTGATCGGGTGACATAGGTCAGCAGTGACGTGCACTAGGTCAGCATGACGGGTGACACTAGGTCAGCAGTGAGAGGTGACACTGGTCAGTGAGGGGTGAGACAGTACATTTGGGTCTGCGTAGTGAGGAGTGAAAGGACAGTGGTTCTGCAGTGAGGGGTGAACACATGGGTCGGCAGTGAGGGTGACACTACAATGGGTCGGCAGGTGAGGGTGACACAATGGGCTGGTAGGAGGGAGAGGCACAGTGGGCTGGTAGTGAGGGGAGAGGTACAGTGGGCTGGTAGTGAGGGGAGAGGTACAGTAGGGCTGGTAGTGAGGGGAGAGGCACAGTGGGCTGGTAGTGAGGGGAGAAGCACAGTGGGCTGGTAGTGAGGGGAGAGGTACAGTGGGCTGGTAGTGAGGGGAGAGGTACAGTGGGCTGGTAGTGAGGGGAGAGGTACAGTGGGCTGTAGCGAGGGGAGTGGCACTGTGGGCTGGAAGTGAGGAGAGGGGTACAGTAGGCTGGTAGTGAGGCAGAGAGGCACAGTGGGTTGGTAGTGAGACAAGAGAGGCACAGTGGGTTGGTAGTGACGGGAGAGGCATAGTGGGCTGGCAGTGAGGAGAGAGGTACAGTGGGCTTGCAGTGAGGAGAGAGGTACAGTGGGCTGGCAGTGAGGAGAAGTACAGTTACCTGGTGGTGAGGGGAGAGGCACAGTGGGCTGGTATAGAGGGGAGAGGCACGGCGGTTTTGGTAGTGATGGAAGAGGTGCAGTGGGCTGGTAGTGAGGGGAGAGGTACAGTGGGCTGGTAGTGAGGATAGAGGTACAGTGGGCTGGTAGTGAGGGGAGAGGCACAGTGGGCTGGTAGTGAGGGGAGAGGTACAGTGGGCTGGTAGTGAGGGGAGAGGTACAGTGGGCTGGTAGTGAGGGGAGAGGTACAGTGGGCTGGTAGTGAGGGGACAGGTACAGTGGGCTGGTAGTGAGGGGAGAGGTACACTGGGCTGGTAGTGAGGGGAGAGGCACAGTGGGCTGGTATTGAGGGGAGAGGCACAGTGGGCTGGTAGTGATGGGAGGCACAGTGGGCTGGTAGTGAGGGAAGAGGCACAGTGGGCTGGTAGTGAGGGGAGAGGTACAGTGGGCTGGTAGTGAGGGGGGGCGTACAGTGGGCTGGTAGTGAGGGAGAGGCACAGTGGGCTGGAGTGAGGGAGAGATCAGTGGGCTGGTAGTGAGGGTAAGAGGCACAGTGGGCTGGTAGTGAGGGTAGAGGTACAGTGGGCTGGTAGTGAGGGAGAGGTACAGTGGGCTGGTAAGTGAGGGGAGAGGTACAGTGGGCTGGTAGTGAGGGGAGAGGTACAGTGGGCTGGTAGTGAGGGTAGAGGTACAGTGGGCTGGTAGTGAGGGGAGAGGTACAGTGGGCTGGTAATGAGGGGAGAGGTACAGTGGGCTGGTAGTGAGGGGAGAGGTACAGTGGGCTGGTAGTGAGGGGAGAGGCACAGTGGGCTGGTAGTAGGGGAGAGGCACAGTGCGGCTGGTAGTGAGGGGAGAGGTACAGTGGCTGGTAGCGAGGGGAGAGGCACAGTGGGCTGGTAGTGAGGGGAGAGGCACAGTGGCTGGTAGTGAGGGGAGAGGCAATTGGGCTGGTAGTGAGGGGGTAGTAGGCTACAGAGGGCGTGGGTTGGAGGTGGAGAGAGACAGTGGGTGGTAGTGAGGGGAGAGGCACAGTGGGCTGGCAGTGGGAGAGAGGACAGTTGGCTTGTGAGGAGAAGGTACAGTGGCTGGTAGTGAGGATAGAGGTACAGTCGGCTGGTCAGTGAGGAGAGGTACAGTACCTGGTAGTGAGGGGAGAGGTCACAGTGGGCTGGTAGAGAGGGGAGAGGCACGGTGGTTTTGGTAGTGATGGGAGAGGTGCAGTGGGCTGGTAGTGAGGGGAGAGGTACAGTGGGCTGGTAGTGAGGTAGAGTACAGTGGGCTGGTAGTGAGGGGAGAGGCACAGTGGGCTGGTAGTGAGGGGAGAGGCACAGTGGGCTGGTAGTGAGGGGAGAGGTACAGTGGGCTGGTAGTGAGGGGAGAGGTACAGTGGGCTGGTAGTGAGGGCAGAGGCACAGTGGGCTGGTAGTGAGGGAGAGGCACAGTGGGCTGGTAGTGAGGGAGAGGCACAGTGGGCTGGTAGTGAGAGGAGAGGCACAGTGGGCTGGTAGTGAGGGAGCACAGTGGGCTGGTAGTGAGGAAGAGGACAGTGGGCTGGTAGTGGGGGGAGAGGTACAGTGGGCTGGTAGTGAAGGGAGAGGTACAGTGGGCTGGTAGTGAGGGGAGAGGTACAGTGGGCTGGTAGTGAGGGGAGAGGTACAGTGGGCTGGTAGTGAGGGGAGAGGCACAGTGGGCTGGTAGTGAGGGGAGAGGCACAGTGGGCTGGTAGTGAGGGGAGAGGCACTGTGGGCTGGTAGTGAGGGAGAGATACATGGGGCTGGTATGAGGGGAGAGGCACAGTGGGCTGGTATGAGGGGAGAGGCACAGTGGGCTGGTATTGAGGGGAGAGGACAGTGGGCTGGTAGGAGGGGAGAGGCACAGTGGGCTGGTAGTGAGGGGAGAGGCACAGTGGGCTGGTAGTGAGGGTAGAGGCACAGTGGGCTGGTAGTGAGGGGAGAGGCACAGTGGGCTGGTAGCGAGGGGAGAGGCACAGTGGGCTGGTAGTGAGGGGAGAGGCACAGTGGGCTGGTAGTGACGGGAGAGGTACAGTGGGCTGGTAGTGAGGATAGAGGTACAGTGGGCTGGTAGTGAGGGGAGAGGCACAGTGGGCTGGTAGTGAGGGGAGAGGTACAGTGGGCTGGTAATGAGGGGAGAGGTACAGTGGGCTGGTAATGAGGGTAGAGGTACAGTGGGCTGGTAGTGAGGGGAGAGGTACAGTGGGCTGGTAATGAGGGGAGAGATACAGTGGGCTGGTAGTGAGGGGAGAGGCACAGTGGGCTGGTAGTGAGGGGAGAGGCACAGTGGGCTGGTAGTGAGGGGAGAGGCACAGTGGGCTGGTAGCGAGGGGAGAGGCACAGTGGGCTGGTAGTGAGGGGAGAGGCACAGTGGGCTGGTAGTGACGGGAGAGGTACAGTGGGCTGGTAGCGAGGGGAGAGGCACAGTGGGCTGGTAGTGAGGGGAGAGGCACAGTGGGCTGGTAGTGACGGGAGAGGTACAGTGGGCTGGTAGCGAGGGAGAGGCACAGTGGGCTGGTAGTGAGGGAGAGGTACAGTGGGCTGGTAGTGACGGGAGAGGTACAGTGGGCTGGTAGCGAGGGGAGAGGCACAGTGGGCTGGTAGTGAGGGGAGAGGCACAGTGGGCTGGTAGTGAGGGGAGAGGAGTGTTGTGTCAGAGCATCAGTGGTAGTGGAGACTCGCGCGGGTGCTGGGAGAGTGGCTCTTACCAGTCTTATTCTTCAGAGAGATCGCCAGCATCCACACCTTGTCTGCAGCTGCTGCATCCACACCTTGTCTGCAGCTGCTGCATCCACACCTTGTTTGCAGCTGCTGCATCCACACCTTGTCTGCAACTGCTGCATCCACACTTTGCCTATAGCTGCTGCATTCACACCTTGTCTGCAGCTGCACCTTCTGCAGCGGACAATACCCTGCAGCTTCTTTCCTTCAAACTTATAATCCGGCCATTAACTTAAATTGAACCCATGAGAAACAATCATAATTTCTGGAGTTTATCTGATATTTTGTATATTCTCTCAGAATGTTACGACGACGATTTAAACTTTAAAAGAGATTCATGCTACTGCAGTGTGTCGAGAAAGAAAAGTTTAATATAATCTATTCTTTAATTTTCTTAAAAAAAAAAATTATATTCGGAACTATCACGTGACTAGCGCTTATTTCAGCACACTCGGCGATCAAATCCATCAAAGAAGCGGCTCGATTAAGTCCATTGAGTTATCGGTTTCATTTCTTAGATTGCGAGTTATATTTTTTCTAGTTATATAGAATATTTCTCAATCTTGTGAAAAAAAAAATAATAAGAGAAACCTGTAAAGAAATACAGTTTCTGCTGAACGAGAGTCAAGGTCCTGCATCCTCCCTGGTGACAACAACACTGAATACAAACTTGTTAAACTTAAATGCTTAACGAGTCGGATAAGACTCCCATGAAGCAGCAGACTACCAGCTACAAGCACCTCTGATAATCTCCGCTGAGAAATAAACCCTACATCGGCCTTTCTATTGCTTTCATCAGTATTTACCAGTCATGAATACTCGGGCATCGGTACTTGCAACTCTCAACTGCTACCTGGTGAGTAACTCTGCCTTCCTTGTTGCCACGTTTATTATCTTGTCTAACCCTTCCTCTTCTACATAAACCAAATAACGATTCATTCAAGAAATCCTACTGCAATTTTTTCTTTGTTTTATTATAGACCTGAAAAAGTGGCATTTTAAGAAATGTTTTAGAAAGAATAGAAGATATAATTGACTAGATCTTCACACTAAAGGAGAATTACATAATGGTTAAGATACTAGAACTTCACACTAGAGGAGAGTTCATGATGGTTAAAATACTAGAACTTCACACTAGAGGGGAGTTACATGATAGTTAGGATAATAGAACTTCACACTAGAGGAGAGTTACATGATGGTTAAGATACTAGAACTTCACACTAGAGGGGAGTTACATGATAGTTAGGATAATAGAACTTCACACTAGAGGGGAGTTACATGATAGTTAGGATAATAGAACTTCACACTAGAGGGGAGTTACATGATAGTTAGGATAATAGAACTTCACACTAGAGGAGAGTTACATGATGGTTAAGATACTAGAACTTCACACTAGAGGGGAGTTAAATGATAGGATAATAGAACTTCACACTAGAGGGGAGTTACATGATGGTTAAGATACTAGAACTTCACACTAGAGGGGAGTTACATGATGGTTAAGATACTAGAACTTCACACTAGAGGAGAGTTACATGATGGTTAAGATACTAGAACTTCACACTAGAGGGGAGTTACATGATGGTTAAGATACTAGAACTTCACACTAGAGGGGAGTTAAATGATAGGATAATAGAACTTCACACTAGAGGGGAGTTACATGATGGTTAAGATACTAGAACTTCACACTAGAGGGGAGTTACATGATGGTTAAGATACTAGAACTTCACACTAGAGGGGAGTTACATGATAGTTAAGATACTAAAAACTTCACACTAGAGGGGAGTTACATGATGGTTAAGATACTAGAACTTCACACTAGAGGGGAGTTACATGATGGTTAAGATACTAGAACTTCACACTAGAGGGGAGTTACATGATAGTTAAGATACTAGAACTTCACACTAGAGGGGAGTTACATGATGGTTAAGATACTAGAACTTCACACTAGAGGGGGAGTTACATGATGGTTAAGATACTAGAACTTCACACTAGAGGGGAGTTACATGATGGTGAGGACACTAGATCTTCACACAAGAGGGGAGTTAGATGATGGAAGATATACTAGAGAGGAGGAAAATGAAAATCGAAACATGATCATCCAAGTATGTAGAACAAATATATTAGAAAACCATACTAAACAAATATATATTTTACTAAATCTAAAGACTAGAGAGCAACACTCAATAAAATAAAGGTCAGCGATAAATAGTCCGTATAACAACCTGTCCTTCATACTGTGTCTTCACACAAATAACTGTCGACAAGTTTAAATATTTAAAAAAAAAAAAAAAAAACATTAAAAACTACGGCTAAAATTTTCAGTAGAATATCAAACTTAAGAATAACTATTCTTGTTAGAACGTCGCACTATAAATTCATTATACTTTACAAAGCTAGCATACACTAATTTAAAGATCAATTATTCTATACATACCTCTGAGTATACATATTATATTTTGCTTTGGCTTCTGATTAGCTGGGGAAGAGCAGTGATACTGTCTCCAGAGCTGCCAGCACATGGGAGCAGTACGAGGCAAGAATTTGATTTTTAGAGTATACTACCGAAGTGGATAATTTATTATGCACTCACATACCATCCTGTGGACGGTAACGAAAGATTTTCATCTTCGTTAAAAGAACTCCACTCAACTCTGCAGTGAAACTGTTAAATACATCTGGCAAACTGCCAAAAGAACTTGTATGCAATCTTAAACCTGGCTAATGCATCATCAGTCACTGTGTTCATATTGCATGTTCCTCCATGAACGTATTTATTTACGTTCATGTTGTCGTAGCGAGTAATGGATCTACTCAAGCTTCTAATTGCATTCCTATTATTTTCGGTTTCATTATTTACTTCTATCTTAATATAATTCCTAATGCAAGACAGATATAATAAAAGTGTATTCTCAGCTTTAAAAACAGTACCCTAAAATAAAATGTAGATTATAGCTTTGGTAAGTCTAACATTAGGGAATGTGTAACAGATTTTTATTATCGAAACCTTTGCAAGCTTGCCTGCGCTGCAGGCTTCTTCATTCGAGCGTAGATGACCATATAATGAAGTGAGCAGAAGCAGTGGATAAACAAACCTAAAGTGAACAAAGTAAACAGTCCCTATATATATATATATATATATAAACTCAGATTAAGCCGTAATAAACTAATGTAATTTAATAAACAGAAAGGACAGAAGGCGCGGACCGTGGTCCCGAGATTACAGGTCCAACGTTCTACCATTTGAGCTACCGGGCTTTAATAGGAAAGATTCGGAACAAGTATATGTATATATTCTCCATCAGACACACCAACTGTAACCCAGTTGACTCTTCCCTACAGCGTTTACAGTAAATCTATTCTCACCTCCCTCAGAGCCATATCGTCTTTGAACTCACATTAAGTAGTAATAAAAGCCTGAAAATGAATAAACAGAAAGATGATTAGGAGGTGCTAACTGTGGTCCAGATATTACAGATACAGTCTGGTAACAGTGTGTGCGTCTGATGAAAAAAATATGTACAAAAGTAGTTTCCAAATCTTCCTTATTAGAAGCCCCGCAGCTCAAGTGGTAGATCACTGGATAATGTAGTCTCAGGACCACGGTTAATAATTGTGTGCAAAATAAGCCACTAGAGAATTGAGAACACTAGCACTAGGTCTTTTGCTATGCAAGTTTATAAGAGTTTCAATAGGTTATTTGAGGTGAAAGATTCTTTAATAATAATAATATCTTTATTTACTACGTGTACAAGGTATACAGACCATAGCTGACATCAGTGACATACTACTATATAGAAAGCCACTTGTTATGCTAAGGATTTCGGGCAAATTACGTTAGTTTTGTCCCAGGATGCAACCCACATCAGGAGTAAAGGAACACGCCCAATGTTTTTACCCTCGGTAAGTATCGAACCCAGACTCGCCGAGTGAAGCGAGAGCTTTAGCCACCAGGCCACCAGAGCCCCAGAAAATGGATGTGCGTGTCGCACATAACCAGTCCAATAAGAGAGGGGCCAGTACAAAGCCACCCACAACATGTTCCTCCATCCCCTATGTGGCTTAATTGGGTTATCATGAGTTAATAAGGTTATCGAAGCTTATTCGTAGGGTACATTGAAAATGGGTTGGGCAAATATTTTTGTTAGTGGATTTGGGGTTTGAAAAGGACCTGTCTAGTATGTGCCAGTAGGCCTGCTGCAGTGTCAGAAAGCAGAAGAGAGATTACGAAAACTGAATCAAGCCGCTTAAAATTACATCAATAAACCCTCAACTAGTCCAGTATCATTGTAAAATCGAATTTATTGGATGGCTATGTCACATACAAATTAGTTTTGTCTGGAACTTTTGAGTACCATAAGGAACCTACATTACGCCTTCCATCTCTTGCTACCAAAAGTTTCCAGAAAGTTCTCGAAATATGTGTTGGCTTGCAATACTTTAATACAGAAAATGTTCTGAATATTCCCTATCATATGCTTATCAACCCTTCTGCCTACAAAAAATCAGAAAATCGGAAATGTGGGTTTAAGTATTTCTAAATATTTGAGAAAGCCTGAGTGGTTCTAATCAGTCAAGAGAATTTCTATTCTTGAAAAGGTTTTTGATTATTTCTGAATATCTTTATCTCATACTTCCTGATTATTTTAAGATATTCTCGAGTATTTCCGAAAATTCCAAATATTCCTTAGTAATTTCCTACTTCCCACTTGACGACACTTCACCACTATTGAAAATTATCAGAGTGCGTTTATATAACATTCCCATGAAACTGACAATACTGACTTTACTAGCCGACGTTACTAGCTGACGTTGCTAACAGTTTTCCCTGTCTTCTACTTCCAGTCCATGTAAGTGATTTAAATTCTCCCAGTCTTCCCTCTTAAAGAGAATGTAAAGCGAGGAAGAAATACACACTTCAAATTACATCTAAGTAGCGATGCGAGTGCACCCGTTCCATTGTCAGTAATTCTAGATGTATGGTGTGAATATATTTATATATATATATAATATATATATATATATAATATATATATATATATATATATATTAATATATATTATATATATATATTATATAATGTTATTGTTATACTCAAGTAGCAAAAATGAAATGATAATACAAACATAATTTACCATATCACCAAAACACTGAATGTGTTAACCACAATACTAGAGCTTTGTTTATATTCTAGGAGTCTGCTGTAATGCTCCTAACAGCATAAAATATTCTTATCCTCTTGCGAACAGTTTGCCCACCAAGGCGGTGATATGTTTGAGTAGCGAACCTGTGGTCTTTGGAAGTAGTTATACTGGGATACTCCATCTGCTCGTCGTCTAGTCACTTTTAAGTTTTGTTCGTAATTTAGAAATGCTTCCACCGAGATGTGTTAGTATGCAGAAAATTTGTGGTAGTCACAGAGAAGTTGCTAGTCCGTAATTGATACCTCCAGTACCAGTACATCGTCACTCCATAAATTCTCCATTATTACTTCGATTTTGATTAAACTTTTCATCATACAGCTAGAGAAAATATTTAAGACAATCCCGAAATTTACATTTCGAAATATTAAATATAGGTTAACAAAGGTATTTCTACTTGTGATTTCATGAGAGTGTGGAGGTGTCCCGTGGCCTGATCGCTAAAGCTCTCGCTTCACATCCCCTCAAGGAAGGTTCCTTGATGTTGGTGAGGGGCTCTTGATTTAGGGAATTGGATCTGTGCTCCAGTTCCCCGAATTAAGCCTGAATGCCTTCCACATCCCCCCCCCCCAGGCGCTGTATAATCCTCTGGGTTTAGCGCTTCCCCCTTGATTATAATAATAATAATCTCGCTTCACACGGGGAGGGTCTACGTTCG